TTCCGAAATCAGTGAAGACCAGGGCTCAGGTACAGCCGCAGTCAGGCTGGCTAGCGCAGGCTGGCGTACGCAAGGACGAAAAGCTCAGCATGCATGTCAATCCCATCTTTTCGCTAACAGCTAAGAAGCTGGGAAACTCCATGGATGTCGCTTGTGGTCTCGGCGCTATTCTGAGGCTCGAGTGCCATGCTCGAAGTGTCTGCGCAATGTACGGACGTCACACCGACCATCCCGCCAGCTGCCGGCGTATACAAACCACGTGCTCCCCAGGTGCCCACGGCCGTGTGCGACCCGAGCGTGACGCTTCATCGCATGGCGTTCAACAACCCGAAGCCGACCAGCCTGCTGTACAAGGAGGCCACCTTCACGACGCCACACGGCAGCACCCAGGTGCCGTGGAAGAAGAAACGGCTGACGCACGGCCTCGGCTGGATGGCGCTGCTGCCGGGCGGCGAGACGAACCAATTGTCCTTCGAGGACTCTGATCAGGTAGGCATGAGCCAGCTGTCCTTCGAGAACTCTGATCAGGTAGACACAACCCAGCTGTCCTTCGAGGACTCTGATCAGGTAGGCATGAACCAGCTGTCCTTCGAGAACTCGGATCAGGTAGGCATGAACTAGTTGTCCTTCGAGAACGCGGATCAGGTAGGCATGAACCAGCTGTCCTTCGAGAACTCGGATCAGGTAGGCATGAACCAGCTGTCCTTCGAGAACCCGGATCAGGTAGGCATGAACCAGCTGTCCTTCGAGAACTGTGAGCAGGTAGGCATGAGCCAAATGCTCTCCAAGGACCCCACACATAAGTGAACTGGAACCAGCTGGGCGTCGAGAGCTCCGATCATGCGCACACGATCCCGCTGTCCTTGGAGAACACGAAGCAGGTAGACACCAATCAACGATCCTGCGAGGACCCGGTTTATCGTGCACACGAACAAGCCGCCCTTCGAGGACTCGTACCAGGTCCCCGTGGCTGGTGGTATCTGAAATGTTTACACCTGGTGTGACACCGCGTTATACCCAGCCGGCTGAAATCACCCTTTATGAACCATTGTGTTTTATGGCTAGAATATTGAGTGATATCTTGCGCTATGTTCAGTGCTATTGTGCTATAGATTTCATATTCTTAAAACTTCAGACGAGCTGTCAATTTAACAAAGTATGCTTGCGAACGTCATAACGGTGCTGTCATCACAGCTGCATCTTGGCTGTAAAACCGCCAAAAATACACAGAAGTCTATCCGCAGAGCTTACTTTCGTGATCCTTCGCGCCACGACCACTCCCGGGTCACGTGACTGAAAAGGGTCTGATTGGCCAGCTGCGTCCGAGCGTGAAGGACCGCTGCTCCGCCCGTAGCCAATCACGTGGTCCTCGGTGCCCCGTCGTGACTGTCTCATCCGCCGGCAGCTGACCAACATCTCGTACACGGCGTCCTTCTACTTCTTGCGGGCGGACGACCGGTTGGCGGTGTCGCACGTCGTCCTGCAGAGGCCGGACCGGCTGGACGCGGTCGGCATGCCCTCCAACGGCTCCGGGCCGCCGCTTGACCTGGCAGCCGGGCTGCACGGCGATGTGCACTGGAACAACGACACCTACACGCTCTCCTATCTCGGTGCGGCCGCTCGGCGCGCGCACCAAGCTCAGCACGTGTCGGGGAGGTGTCAGAGCTGCAGTTGGACGATATGGCACGGCATTGCTCGGTCTCTTTGTTGTTGTTTCTGTGTTTTAATGCAAGTTGAGGAAAAGCAATGAAACTAGAAGACGCTTTGATTGTGTACCCGTGGCCAGTAATATTCATCATGTGTTGCTTATTGTTGCACGCGCGGCGTTACTGCAACCTAGTTATGCGTAGCGTCCTTTTGTAAAGACCGCCAGTTTCGCACCGTTTGCGCTGCAAAAATGGTTAAGAAAATGCCGCTTAATGCAGCACAGATCATGAGATTCGTGGTACAGACGGCTGTATGCTGCCACTGAAGAAGATGGCTTTAGGGTACATGCTTGATGAATAACTGTCCACGTAAACTCACCCGGACGTTAATCCATGATCCTGCTTTCCGTCTTCAAATGGTTGCCCCCCCCCCCCTCGTTACACCTTGTTTGACCCCGTCAACACCATTTGCGCGCATCAGCACATTGCCACGTCCACCACGGTCATGGGACCATCCGGCTCCTCATCAGGTCACCACAACTGACTGACTTCCGTGTGCCCTGCGGCAGTGGCCGGCCAGTCTCGCTCGCGTCGCGCCGCCGGCCCGTTCGAGGACCGCGACCCTGGCCGCACCCAGTCCGTCTCGCTGAAGGTGTATCGCTGCTTCTTCGAGGACTGCGTGCCGCCGCCGGTACCGACGGTGCCGACCGGCCGGCCCGACCAGGTGCAGCTGTGGTCGCAGGCCACCGACGGCGTCTGGCTGGTCCCCGGCCAGATGGAGGATGTCACGGTGCCACCAGGTACGAGCGCCGAGGCCCAGGACTCCGGCCGGGCAGCTGGCGCTGGGGTCAGTGAGCGCCGCACGGGTGCGTGTGTGCCGGGTCAGGGGAGGGGAGGAGTTTTACTCCGAGGTATTCCCGGCGTCCTGGGGTGTGCCTTTCCCTCTGCGTGCACGTGTCAGGCACGTTTACTCCTAGGCGTACCCGGCGTCCTGGGATGTGCCTTTCCCTCTACGTGCACGCGTCAGGCACGTTTACTCCGAGGCATACCCGGCGTCCTGGGATGTGCCTTTCCTTCCACGTGCACGCGTCAGACACGAGGAATGATGTCCGGTGTGGGCGCTCAGCCAGGCCGTTCGCTATGGCTACGCGGCTGGGCCCAGATACATCTGATCAGATGCATCTCATCTTTTTTAATAACCAGCCCGTACGCCCGACCGGGAATATTTGCGAGTGCGTATAGGTCGTCTGTAGTTTCTAAAATGATGCTGAGAAATTTGTATACGTTTCGGGGCGGGTCAAAGATCTTGAAGAAGAAGAAAGAAGTACGAGATCTTGTTGTTTTATGTGATACATCACGGCCCACGCCTGCTTGAATGAAAGTGTCGATCTGGATATATATATATATATATATATATATATATATGCGTAGTTGTATTGCATGTATTAATGCACGTAACTGATGGTGTCAGTAACAATCTTTATTTCGTCGTGACAGCATTAGTATTTGGGCAAATGGCTTCTGATGCTCATGACAAAAACAACTAAAAAATGAATATATTGTTTGTTGAATCGGGGTTTGCTCTACGCGCTAGTTTACTGTTACCAACAAGCAACAAACATGTCCTGCTGCTATTTTGACCGTTTTAGTTTTAGCAACATTTCTCACCACCTTCCTGAGCAGGAAGCTCTTCGGTTTGCGACTTTGTGTCCCTAACATGGGTGTCAGTGTCCGGTTCTTAACTCCGTGGCTGATGTCGGGCACTCCTGCATACCTGTTCATAGCTGGCCGTTACAAAAAGGAACTACCTGTCACCGCCCATGCCCCCAGGGCTTTGGGTGCTGGTCGATGTGCCCCTGCCTCCAATCCGTCGCCTGACTATCTACGGCGTCCTCGAGATTGGAGACGACCAGAACAATGTGCTCAACTGCACCCACATTGTCGTCTTTGGGAAACTGATAGCAGGTAGTTGTCCACTGCGGAGCCTAGGCCGTGCTTTACGAGTTTGTATATTATGCCGTATGTGCATAATTTAGACCTGAAGCCTTAAACCCCATTAAGTCTCCATCGTTAGAATATTGAGCTCACGTCATGCCCAGGTCTGAGCAAAAGCGTTAACTTCATGGAACCACATAGGCCTGACACAGTTTTCTGAGAAATGGAACAAACATAAAACCTGCGTGTGGTTCCAAGGCGAGTCACATCCCGCTCTGCGTCGCCAGGCACTGCCGAGCAGCCGTTCCAGAACAACCTGACAATACTGCTGCGCGGTCGACACCGGCGGGGCGAGGACGGAGCCTCCGCCGACATCCCTATGCCGGCTGGCACTCCCAACATCGGCTGGAAGGCGCTCGGTACGCGGCCGGGCTGCAGGGACCGGATGGATGGCGCCACAGTCAGAACACGGCGGGCAAGGATACCGAGTCATTCTTTGACGCCGATCGTGTATATATATATATATATATATATATATATATATATATATATATATATTTATATACATATTTAGTTATATACATATACATTTATGATTCCATCACCAAGATGAGAAAAGTGCTTCAGGCTGTGGGCTGCATTATTGAAAAGCTAGTAGAATATCACATCCACGCTATGTGATTTACTGCTTTCACTTCTTTCCCAGTCGTTGCTTTACATGGGAACATTGCACGCCTATAAAATTGTTTCGTATATCCAGCTTTCTCACCTTTGAATTTTGGACCGGTCAAAAATTTGCGTAGCAGTAACTGCTATGCTCCCCTGACTTCCATGTGATCTTTCCTTATGCCGGTCATTTCCCTCTGCCCTGTGGTTTTCTTGCAAACATTCGAGTTCGGAATGGCCTCTTCTGTTACCGGTACCGCACGTGAAGAATCGGCATTGCGTTGCAGCATTGAAGGAATGCGATGCAATGCAAGGAACAAAAATTGCTGCAGCACTAACGGCAATTTTGCAGCTATTCTGGACTGAATATGTTCGGACAACTGCGTAGGCTGTTACCATTTACTCCTCGTGGTATTTGTTATAACGCTTGAAGAAATGCTGAGACGGTCCATTTGCTTTTATGGACACAGCAACCCGAAGCTGTCTTGTCCGACTTTCTAGGCCACCAGCGACCGTGACGTACTGCAGCTGTTTGTTCCCTCGTCTCTCGCGTCACCAACGACGTGCAAAGCGTCTTATCAAAGTGTCTAAGCCGAGCAATCCCCGTCCTCCTGCCACTCCAGCTACGTTCGGCGGTTTGGAGCTGTTCGGTCGGCCGACGGCGGTCCAGTGGACCTCGCTGTCGGCCACGGCGGCGGCCGGCTCCTCCTCGCTGTCGCTCAGCTCGGCCGTCGACTGGCCGGCCGGCGCCGAGCTGCTGGTCTCGACCAGCAGCTTCGAGTCGCGCCAGACCGAGGTGCGCCGCGTGGCGGCCGTCTCCGAGGACGGCATGACGCTGACGCTGAACCAGAGCCTGCAGTACGAGCACCTCGGTAGGTGGCATGGCGGTCGGCATGACGCTGACGCTGAACCAGAGCCTGCAGTACGAGCACCTCGGTAGGTGGCGCGGCGGTCGGCAGGGCGCTGACGCTGAACCAGAACCTGCAGTACGAGCACCTCGGTAGGTGGCGCGGCTTTCGGCATGACGCTGACGCTGAACCAGAGCCTGCAGTACGAGCACCTCGGTAGGTGGCGCGGCGGTCGGCAGGGCGCTGACGCTGAACCAGAACCTGCAGTACGAGCACCTCGGTAGGTAGCGCGGCGGTCGGCAGGGCGCTGATGCTGAACCAGAGCCTGCAGTACGAGCACCTCGGTAGGTGGCGCGGCTTTCGGCATGACGCTGACGCTGAACCAGAGCTTGCAGTACGAGCACCTCGGTAGGTGGCGCGGCGGTCGGCAGGGCGCTGATGCTGAACCAGAGCCTGCAGTACGAGCACCTCGGTAGGTGGCGCGGCGGTCGGCAGGGCGCTGATGCTGAACCAGAGCCTGCAGTACGAGCACCTCGGTAGGTGGCGCGGTGGTCGGCAGGGCGCTGACGCTGAACCAGAGCCTGCAGTACGAGCACCTCAGTAGGTGGCGTGGCGGTCGGCAGGGCGCTGATGCTGAACCAGAGCCTGCAGTACGAGCACCTCGGTAGGTGGCGCGGCGGTCGGCAGGGCGCTGACGCTGAACCAGAACCTGCAGTGCGAGCACCTCGGTAGGTGGCGCGGCGGTCGGCAGGGCGCTGATGCTGAACCAGAGCCTGCAGTACGAGCACCTCGGTAGGTGGCGCGACGATCGGCATGACGCTGACGCTGAACCAGAACCTGCAGTACGAGCACCTCGGTAGGTGGCGCGGCGGTCGGCAGAGCACTGTCTGCGGCGGCGGCCGCCGCCTCTACTGCAGTGCCGGGTCTGAGTGCAAGTGTGAGAGCTGTGGGTCGCTGTGATGCACATCCGACATTGAGTCAGTTATGTGTGACTGATATTGTTTCAGGAAGTGTGCGCGCTTTGGTCTGTTATTCTTACGATTGGTAAGGTTGTTCCGCCACCATGTATTGGTATCGCTAGTGTCTTCCGGCACGTCTTTTTGGAAAAAAAACTGCCTGTTCCGACACGCAACACGGTAAACAGCAGTTGCTGAGCCAATGCTCGTCAGAAGAGTTAGTGCGATGAGCCTATTTAATGCGCCACCAGAACAACTCTGCCCACTCGGAGGCCCGGAGCCCCCCTCAGCACTCGTCCAATCCAGGCTACTCTGCAATGGGTGGGTATGCTGACGTTCCACGCCGGCCGTCGCAGGCATCGGCTTCACGATGCCAGACGACTCCGTCGCTCCCCTGGCGGCCAAGGTCGGACTCCTCTCCCGCAACATCCGCATCGAGGGCGAGTCCTACGATGACGTCATCGAGGAGAGCTTCGGGGCGCGCGTGCTGGCCAGCAGCTACAACGACAGGAACACCAACACGATGAAGAAAGGTCTGCGCTGTGGTGTCGTTCACGTGCCTGTCCCCCAGCTTGATGCATGCTCACGCCGCCCACTGGCTGCACTCTGCGGCAGCGTTGATGACAGCAGTGTTGCGGTAGCGTCAACTCATACAAATGGCAAGCTTGTACCTTACAACTGAAGTCTTTGAGCGTGTCAAAGACGCCCAAAATACATCTCAGACGGATGTTTGTCAGGGTCGTTTACTTGTTTGCATAACCGCTGATCACATCTTACAAGTTTGCACACTAGGTGGACGATGAAATTGCTGTTTCCCCTGCTATATCTTTCTGCGGAGCCCAGGTATCGTCGGCCAAGCCGTCGAGTATGCTCCGACCCGCCGCGTTGTCTGACCGCCACCCCCGCCCGCGCAGCCTCCGTCCAACTCTCCAACGTGGAGTTTCGGCTGGCTGGCCAGGACGGCTGGAGTGACGCCTACGACCCGCGCTATGCCCTCGCCTTCGTCTCCCTGGACGATACGGACTCCAGCGTGGTCAACTGCAGCTTCAACCACCTCTTCAGCCCGGCCATCGGCATCTTCTACACCAACAACCTCACCGTTCAGGGCAACGTCATCATGCACACGGTCGGATCGGGTGAGGCGGGTGGGGTCGTCATGGGCGGGCTGTCGTGATTTGTTGCAGGGTGTTATGCGATTGTGCTCAATAGTAAATGTGAGTTTCGTTTTGGTGCCGTTGGTGAGCGTTCTTAGTGCGTACACCGCTCTATCCCGCTCTTTTTCAGGAAGTATGGTTACTAAGACTCGGATATTTTTTGTCCTAATCTTAGCAAGGGCGAGAGGAAACAATGGTTTTTACCACGACCGCTGTGCGCCTAAGGGATAATTTAGGCAGTGACACATCAAAGCATGGGAGATGGGATGCATAGGAGCTGGCTTTGCTACGACTTAGTGTGTCTGCAGGGGTGCAGATTTGATGTGCGTTGAGTACACGCTCGTGCGTGTGACAGTGACAACCTGAGCCGCTGTTTGTGCACACACGTTCCGTTGTACTGGCCTGAACAGGCGATATTTACCCGCACCCCTGCCACTATAGCGCCCTCACGCCGGGTCTGCCACGCAGGTATCATCGACGAGGGCGTGGGCAACCGTCTGCAGGACAACCTCGTCTCGTGGGTCGTCTTCCCGGGCACGTACAACGGCCGCGAAGAGCCGGAGAACCTCTCCTGGGACGCCGGCTTCCGGATCCACAAGGCCAAGAGCGTGACGCTCACCGGCAACGTGGTGGCAGGTGCGAACACCACGCCTCCTGTCCTGCCACGGACCACTCGTCCTCGGCCCCTGTCGGTAAAGCAGGGCCGCCGGACTGGATCACGAAGGCTAACGCTTGCCATGATGTTTCCTTTGGATAGCCTACCCATAAACGTTTGGGCTGAGTCTGAAATCCCGGTGGCAATGGCAGGACGACAGCGTCCTCTCCGACAGGAAGCGTCGGGGACGCAAAGTTGTTTCCGTTATGTGTGGCTCTTGCGTCTCCCGAAGCGTTTGTTCTCGAAGCCTTCTGACGGGCAGCACACCAGCATCACAGGCTGACGCGTCGGCGGCTGTGCTGAACAGGCTCGGAGCGGCTGGGCTTTCACATCAGCGGCACCGACTGCGCTGCGCCTTCCAACTGGGCCAACAACGAGGCACACGGCGTCCTGCACGGCGTCCATATGTTCAAGAAGATCACGCACAAACAGTGCGCCAAGGTGCGGCGAGGGCAGCCCGGACAGCAGAGCCGGACCGCTCCCACTCTGACACTCTGACACTGACACTCTGACACTTAGCACGACACCCGTGATCTCGGGCACCGCTCGTGGATGTCACACTGTTTCGCTTTGGTCTGGCTGTCGTACTGGCTTGCGATGCTCAGCCATTCTTGCAGTCAGTAGCGTTAATTAGAAACGATTCTTCCATGCTCAAGCTTTGTAGTTCCTTGTTTGTACGTCTTACGCGCTTCAGCCTCACCGTTACGCAGGACTCACTATGCCTCGACGCTCAGCGACAATCACGGTAACGTCGTACGGCGCTCCTCCCCACCAGGTGAGCGGCTTTTACGTGTGGCGGGCCTACGACTTCGGCATCTACTTTCACGTGAGCTCGCACAGCGTCGTCGTGGAGGACAACCTGCTCGTGGAGAACACGCTGGCGCTGCTGCCCATGCTGTACGAGCCGAGCCCCGTGTCTCACCAGTACGCCGACAAGCACATCAACGTCACCAACACGCGTATCGTGGCGGTGACGTCGGCCGAGCAGTGCGGCGCCGACACAGCGCCGCAGATCGCCAGCTACCGCACGCAGGCGCGGTCGCCCCGCGCGCCCGACGGGGGCCGCACAGGCCTCATGTGGGGCCAGTTCATCGCCAGTCCTGTCGGTGAGCGCTCCGTGGCCCGCGGGGATGAGGAGGAGCCTGCTGGAGCTTGTGACGCCCGGGAGTTATCGTCATTAGCAGTTAGATAGTGTGTTGGATGTAGCAGTGCAGCCCGGGTGTGTTTGTGCTGCAGTTTAGACTCGTCGTGCACATTGAGATGAAGCTTTTTGGATGAGCCTGTCTGTATGACGTGTGTTGCAATGTAAGGTAACTACAGCTGAGCGTAACATTGACCCTCTACGATTTCACTTGACTGTGGTGTTGGCCTTTTTGGCGCCGTGACGTGCCCAATTGTTAGCCGAAATGTCCCCCCCCCCCCCCTCCCCGTTTCTCCACACGCCATCGCTCCGTTCGGCTGCAGGCGCGCCGCTCAAGACCTGGTACAATCCGATGAGCTACGCGGCTCTGCGCGGCACAACGTACCTGCGGTCGATCCAGCTGATCAACTTCGCCCGGCTGTGCGGCGGCCGCCGCGACCTGGCGCTGACCACCCTGGGGTCTGGCGACGATGCCCAGCACCCGGTAGTCAGCCAGGACGTCAGCTTCACCAACGTGCTCGAGGACGACCGTCTCTTCTTGCACGAGTGAGCCTGCGTGGAGATCGGACACCGCGGAGGGAATGAAGTACGGGTGTGCCTGTAGGAGGGGGAGAGACTGTGGTTTTCAGGGGTTGGCTGAGGCATGTCTTAAAGGGGACGTGACGTGCTGCTTTCTTAACGGTGTGATCACATGTGATCATGATCATCACATCACATGATCACACAGACGATGGGCGGTGTGGGTTTTGCATAGCGGGGAGACGTTGAACGCCTGATTGCTGGCGACTGATTACGGCTCTACACTGAGTTCACACGACGCCTAAGTCTGTTCAGTCAATATAAGGGACAGCGTGAAGAGGCACGCGGCTCAGATGGCTCCGGCATGTGCATACCGGCAGCACAGTGCAACCGTTATCCCATACATTCACCGGTGAACTCTTATTGACGGATGTGCCCCGCTTCCTCAGGCCAGATCTGGCAGCAGTGAACCCATCTGACTGCGTGGACATGGACTGTGATGGCCAGAAACACGCCATGCTGATCGACACCGACGGCTCCTTGATTGGTGAGCTGTCCTGCATTTAATAACTGAGTGCCAGGAGCGGCCTTATGCAGTCCCATTTAGGGGCAAACTTACAGGAGTCTAGACTTATTTGGTTATCACTGGTGATGGGCTGCTGCCTATTTAGTGCACACCAAGCGATAGTCTGTGCTGAAGCATAACCATTGATTACATTCTGATACACTGGCTGGCTGACATTTTTGACGGCAGGGACATCTGTAGTTCTTTGGTAATGTATGTGTGCTGTATCGCATTGCCCGTCAAACCCGGTCCATCCTGAAGAATGCCGCTGACCCCATTTGAACCTATCCTGATCTCCTCTGACAGTTGACACAACTGGCACTTCCACTCAGGCTCTGCCGACACAATGGTGCGTCTGGCCGAGTTTGAGTTTGACCATCTCTGACACAGCTGGCACTCCCACCTCAGGCTCTGCCGACACGATGGGGCCTCTGGCCGAGTTTGAGTTTGACCATCTCTGACACAGCTGGCACTCCCACCTCAGGCTCTGCCGACACGATGGTGCCTCTGGCCGAGTTGGAGTTTGACCATCTCTGACACAGCTGGCACTCCTACTCAGGCTCTGCCGACACAATGGTGCGTCTGGCCGAGTTGGAGTTTGACCATCTCTGACACAGCTGGCACTCCCACTCAGGCTCTGCCGACACAATGGTGCGTCTGGCCGAGTTTGAGTTTGACCATCTCTGACACAGCTGGCACTCCCACCTCAGGCTCTGCCGACACGATGGTGCCTCTGGCCGAGTTGGAGTTTGACCATCTCTGACACAGCTGGCACTCCCACCTCAGGCTCTGCCGATACGATGGTGCCTCTGGCCGAGTTGGAGTTTGACCATCTCTGACACAGCTGGCACTCCCACCTCAAGCTCTGCCGACACAATGGTGTGTCTGGCCGAGTTTGAGTTTGACCATCTCTGACACAGCTGGCACTCCCACCTCAGGCTCTGCCGGCACGTTGGTGCCTCTGGCCGAGTTTGAGTTTGACGGCGATGAGAGGCGAGGTGTGGGCTACTACCGCGTGCCCAAGTCGGCCGTCACACGGCTGGACGGCTCGCGCATCCCGTACGCAGAGAAGATGCCCAACAAAGGTAACTGAGGTCCGGGCCATGCGGCGAATGCTGCCGGCGGCGTGGCCCTGCTGAGATGGCGAGAACGAAGGGAAACGATCGTGTGGCCTTGGGCGTACTCTGGATGTAATTTTCTGCGATGTCCTGTTTGGTGTTATTAATTTAATGGAGCTAAATTCACTAATGGTTATTAAAGCCCATGTAAAATGTGTAATCGTTATGTGTAATATGTGATGCCTTTGCATGCACGGGACCTGTCTGTGCGGTAATATGTATATATATATATATATATATATATATATATATATATATATATGCGTGTGTGTGTGTGTGTGTGTGTGTGTGTGTGTGTGTGTGTGTGTGTGTGTGTGTGTGTGTGTGTGTGTGTGTGTGTGTGTGTATGTGCGTGTGTGTTATATACATTCTAAAGATAAATATAAATCAGAACGCTCAACCAAAATAATTTCCATTAATCGCTATTGCATCTCATCAAATTTGTTGCTTCAGCTGTTACATGCGATGTTGTGATGCTGCACTAAGCTGTTGTGGCGTATTTCGTATTTCTGATCACCGCTTTAACAATGCGGCGCCGAAGGCTAGCGGGACGCACCATAACGCGTGCGCGGCCGCACGACAGGCATCTGGCGGGACGCTGACTGCACGTGGCGCGCGCCGTGGCGAGCGTACACGTGCCCGGGCGGCCAGCAGCGCATGCTTGTGCTGGAGTCGATGGACGCCGACTCGGAGATCCGCCGCGTGTCTCCGATCGCCCTCATCGCCGACCCCGGTACGTCACACCGTACGCCATGTGAGACGCGATGTGGGAGGCTCAGTGGGACGCCTGGCGGGCGTGCTCGGCTGCCGAGCGTGTTGGCGGTGACGTCACCGTCATCCCGTCTCGCGTCCGCCAGGCTCGGCGGGCTTTGTGGACCTGCTGAACGGCCAGCAGGACCACGGCTGGTGCTTCGGCTACACGTGCCAGGAGCGGCTGAGCACCTTCTACGCGGTGGTGGCGGCCAGCAAGCCGTACGAGATGCACTTCACGGGCACGCCGCCGCATCACCTGAGGTTCCACTTCCTCCACGCCCAGCCGGACCAGGTCAGAGGCTGGTGTGACTGCCGCAGCCGCGGCGGCAGCCAGCAGGTGGACAGGTGAATGAGATGATACATTGAGCCGAAGGGGAGAAATCTATCGGCTCTAAGCCCAACTGGCCCGTCCCTGTACTTAGCAGTGAACTGCATTAGTCTTACCTTGCTGAGTAGCGCACGAATACAAAAGATGAAACGTCTTCACATCAGCGACGGGCTTATATGTTTTCGCCAAGAATTTCATCGTTTTCTGAGATATTGTAGAGTTATCAATAATTTACGAGTGAGACGATTAGTGCGATAAAACGTCACTTATTGTCTTGGTGTCCTTGATGTTAAACGGCTTAATCGGCGGCTGTTCGCTAGCACATGGATACAGCAAATCTGACGGCGTAGTTGTAGCCCCAGCCTTCCTTCTCGCGGCACACGATCTGGCTCGAATATTCTGACATGAATCGTTCACTGGTGCGCTGCAGGCGATCCTGTTGAAGATCTGGTACCCGAAGACGCAGCGATACGACGTGTACTATGAGGGCGAGTTCGTCTACCCGACCAACACCGATCCGGCAACGTTCGACATCCTCCCACCTGATCCTGCAAATCCGGACCAGTTCGTGCCTCTCATCACTTCAACGGTGAGCTTCCAGCTATGTGCGCTTAGTGGAAGCAGGACAGGAGCAGCTGCTCAGGATTGCGGCGGGCTGTGGGTTGTGATCCGTGCATAAAGGGCCTTTTCTAGTTTTATTGGTGAAGCATTTCATCGTTTGACAGGCAAACGACAGGATCGGCATGCAGTCTTTGGTGCTGCAGGTCGTGCCAAACCAACCAACAGCAAACGTTTGCACGACGGCTTATTGGGAATGGTTATGGTGGATCAGGTGCTTTGGAAGTAAACTCGGGCGATTGTGTGCTTTTAAGTCATATTTGATTATTTTCAGCTTATGTATTCACGCTGGTAAGTTCATTAACTTATTGAGTACATTTTTGCGGTCATGTATGACGTTCAGAATGCTCTGAACGGACATCACTGCTTCACGGAACGTAGCTTCAGTTTTAATCTGTGCATTTGTATTCGTTTCTTTAAGCCTAACGCGTGCGTTTCCTGTAACCCCCTGACATCTTCCCTGCCCCAGTTGCATGAAATTCGAAAGAGGTCGTGACGCTGAGCGGAAGACATTATGATTTAATGCAAGGACCGTTCACATCAATAACCAAACATATTTGTAGGAAACACAAATGTCTACTGACGCTTCTTCCCACGCAGCTGCTAGCTTCGCTTTCCTAAGACACCGCCCCTCATCTCTCTTTCCGCAGACTCACGGCCAGAACTTCTTCGACCGGACGACTGGTTTCCTACACGTGCTGCTGCGTGGTCCGGGCATCATCGAGGTGCGCCAGCAGCCGATCATCGTCCTCAAGATGGGCTACGTCGGCGAGGCGGAGTTCTTCGAGTCTGACGTGCTGCCGCGGCTGATGGACCTGCTGGGCATCTCGCCAGACCAGCTGCGAGTGCCGAAGGTGGTGCGCGAGGACTCGGCGCCGGCCGGCAGGCGGCGCCGGGATGCCGAAGCCCCAGCCGTCCAGGTGGAGGTGGGTTCGGCGACGCGGTCACAGCAGTTGTGGCTGTGGCTGCTGCGACAGCAGACACAGCAGTCCGGAGGTCGATGCTGCCACAGCAGCCGGCAGGGCTGGAGATGTTGGTGTTGCCCGTCCAATACAGGCGGCCGTCCGTACTCGATCACGGCGCAGACGACATGCTACGATTGTAAATTAACGTTCTTGCGTACGCGTTCAAATATGCGATTACTTGGGGCAGTCTGCCAGTTAGCACACAGTTTAGCAGTCATGTCTTGCTGGAAATCCGCTCGAAGATGTTTTGTCGTACCTGGCTGTGTGCAGCTTGGAATCCTGCGTCGAAAATGAGCCGCCTTGCCACCCGCCGCCCGTAGCCAAACACCCTGAGGCGGCGCCCGTCTCAGACCAGGCGACGGTATCGGCCCGAACCCCACCCGCTTCCCCTCCTCCCTCCCCTGTGACCTGTTCACAAGGCACGCGCCTGCTCTCTCTCGAGCGCAGATCGAGATCGGCCAGCCTCCCGCCAACGGCACTGCCGACACTGGCAACAGCACCGCCACGCTGGAGGACCTAGAGCGCGTACAGGCCCGCGTCGTCGACAGCTTCCAGACGGGCCAGGTGGACGCAGCGCTCGGTGTTCAAGTCCAGACCATAGCGGTGAGCGACGGCCGGTTCCGACCACACTGTGCAGCATGGGCGGCTGGCCCTGGCGCCTTTCGGTTCGGTCTGTATCGGCGCGAGCCTGTCGGCGCGTTCGCGTGGTGAGAGTAGCCAGAACCGTGGCACGCTGACGGGTGCGGACCACACTCATCGGCGGGGCCCGAGGCAACTGTTGGGCCGGGGTGTTTCGTCGGCGGCCGGATGCGCTACCTGGCTGGTCGTGCCGCTGCTGCGGCCCTGACGGGGGCTGGTGAGTGTGATTCGCGGTATGATGCCGTGCAGCTAACATTGCTGGTGAATGACTGGTGAGTGTGATTCGCGGTATGATGCCGTGCAGCTAACATTGCTGGTGAATGACTGGCGATTGGTGTATCGCTACCGCGCGTACCGCGTACCGCGCTACAACATCGCGCTGCACTGCTACGCTGCTGACGCGGTGCCGCACAGTAGTCGGAGATGTTGGCGGTGAGATCGAACAGACGATGTTTTAGGCCAGACCATCGCAGGGACGGACAGATCTGTCGACGTTTCAGCTGCGGTCGTATCGAATTATCGAGTAACCTGGAGAACAGCCTACCTTGCTTCCGTGTTGTAGCCAAGGGTTTGAAAATTCAAGTTCACGTGGTTGAAACGCTGTTCGGGCATGTGCTCGGAATAAACTACGGGAGGTTCCTCTTCCAAAGCGTTCACCTCCATCTGGGCACGGAGAAACAGCGAGCTGTTGGGACCTCGCGCACCCCCTCCCCTTTCGCTGGGGTGTGTCCGTGGTCAGTGGCATGTGCGACTGAACATGATGCGCGCGCCCGTCGTTTGCGACACATGACATACGTGACCTGTGTGACCAAAGTGACTTACGTGACCTGATACGTGACCTGTGACCTGCGCGACCGTCAGATGATTGACCCGGTGCCGGTGGCCACCGACCCGACTGGCGGCGTCCGCGCCACCAACGAGACCGGCGACGTGGATCTCTCCGGCGTTCCCGGAGCCAAGACGTGAGTGTCGGTCATCTCAGGTCGCTTCGGCCTGTCGCACCGCATGCTGGTCAGCTCTAACCGTGAGACTCAGACAGAAACTAAGAAGCCAGCCGAGTGGCATGTTCTGGTGGTTGGTTCGTTCATGCTTGTCTGTACGTTAATTACATAATGAATGGCGTCATTGCTCGCACGTCGTTGACCACTTGGCATTTGTTCTGACTGATGGCAGCGTGCTGACGCCTGTGTATTGGTGCCCAAGTCCTCGCTCGCAGAGCAGATTTACAGCAACTTGCGATATTGTCAGCGATGAGGTGAGATACCTTATGAGAGGAGATATGTTTTATGTTTCCTGGCAGTTTTTCAGAGACGCAAAGGGAGCAGGAGGCAGAAGCTGCGGCAGCAGAGGCGGAAGTCGCTGATGGTGTCGCCTACCAGCGACCGGCAGAACTATTGATTGAATCGCAGCCCGTCAGAGGCGTTATTGAGGAGCTCAGTCAGATAATGCCCCTCATCAAGCTCTACATGAAGGATACCACCGTAAGTAAAAGATGAGCTTAGGCTGGAGGACGCGTTCGAGTATTCTCAAACTAACATGGCTTGTTCACACTGTTTGGAAATTTGTCAGCTTTATGGCTTCAAAGCCAAGGACTGCATTGTGCATGCTTCGCAGCCATGTTTTTTTCTGACACCCGAAAGTGGCTCAGAACCACAGTCTTGTTCACACTGCAAAACATTATTGTTAGGTGTATCACTTCCGTTGAAGATGATGTTTATCTTAAACGCTGGGTCCTAAAACCAACGAACGCCATCACGACACACACAGACGCCCTGATTGGCGCCCGCGCGAAGAGAGAGCCCCGACATCTGCCTGAAATGGCAGCGAGCATAGAGTGTGTGGCAAAGCAAGGGCGAACCCGTGAACATCATCGTTCCTGCAGCTGATTCCAAATTCTACGGTTATCAGCCGCGGGACCGTTGTCGCTGTTGCGCGTGCGCAATAGCACAGCGGCCGAGCTCTTCTCTTCTGCCCCGCGTTAGTCCCTCCCCCTCCTCGCATCTGGCCTGAACTTGCCACCGGGCCCCGCGCCTGACGCCGTTCTGTTCGGCTCCGCTGCAGGGGGCGCGCATGTCTTCCGTCGGCCACGAGTCCAGCCCGTGGCAGGTGGAGGCTGAGCTGGTGTCGCCGCCGGCCGGGGTGTCGCTGCTGCACGCCCGCGAGCCGTTCCGCCAGGGCGTGGCCACCTTCAGCCGGCTGGCGGTGAGCGGCGTGGCCAGCGGGCTGCGCCTGCGCTTCCGCGTGGTGCAGCCGGCCGAGGTCAGCTTCAGCGCGGACATGAGCGGCTCGTTCAGCACCACCAAGAAGCGGCTGGAGGCGAGGGTGGCCAGCGACACGCGTACTGGGACCGACATGGACCAGAAGGGACGCCCCGCTCAGGTGGGAGCCACATCTTCGGAAGAGAGCCGGTCCGCTGGGAGGAGCCTAGGTCGGCTGAAGTTGTTTTGGGAGGGCACCTGTAGATAAAGGGGCAGTGAGATGTGAGTTGCCCGGCCCAGATTTGTGTTGAAACATATATCATTTGAAATCTATACAGTTTTTGGCTGAAATACGGAACAGCTGAAAAGGTTACCACGTGGGAAAATGTCTAAAGCCGACGACCGTCGAGAAAAATAAAACACATCCCGACCTGTTCGGACTTTTTCAAATAAAATGCATTTTTGACCTAAATTTAGCCAACGTTTGTTCACTTACTGCAACTGGTGACATTGAATTGTGTCTCAGCGCATCCGGATTGCAATTTTCCGCACCGTTGTCCCACGCTGGTAGCATTCCCTCGCATCTGTATGCCCCAAGTATCTGCGATCCTGCGTCGTTGCGTCTCAATCCCATTGCTATTCTTGCCACCACGTTACATTTCCCCACTGCCCCCAACCCGATGTATCGCATGTTGTGTGTGCCCAGTTTCATATGCTACCTTCACACCGTCGCCGTTCTCCTCCCAAACGTCATCACGTCTCAGGCTACTCGCGTTTCACATTGCATATGCCATGCCTCTCACGCCTCCCATCTCGTGCCCTCTTCGATGACTTCCACGTGTTGTCTGACCCACGACCCATCTCGAGCCCCTCTCCCGCTGTACCGTCTGTCATGTCCCATCCCGTGTCCCTGACCCGCTCCGACCGCCGCGGATCACGTCTGACGTCCTCGCCTCACGCCTCTCACGCCTCTCACGCCTCTCACGTCGCTCACGCCGACCGTGCCCTCACGCCCGTCAGGCCGGCGATACGCGTGTTCATACGTGACCCGGTGACGCGCGGCCCGGCCGCCGCCGAGGTGCTGCGCGGCTACACCTGGCGCTTCCGGGCGGATCTGTATGAGGCCGGCTCCAGCCCGCGCGCCGTCTTGCGGGTGAGGCTTCGCACGAGCGACGCCGCCTCAGCCGCGCCGAGCTCGTGGGCTGTGTCGGCTGCCGCAGTGGAGACTAGACTACGCTTGTCTAGGTTAGGTTGGGTAGGTGCGGTGGAACCTGAACTACGCCAGGTTGGCTTAGCTGAGCCGAAGTGGAGACTAGCCTACGCCAGGCTGGGTTGGATTAGCCATGGTGAAGGTCAATTTGTGCCAGGTTGGGTTGCGCTAGTCGCAGTTGAGACTAGCCCACGGCAGGTAATGTTATGATAGCCCCGTCCGAGCTTGGCATGTTTCATGTTGGCCTGGTCGCCATAACTTGAGCAATTTATTACACAAAATGGACCAATTCACCAATAAAACACCTCGAACGGGGATCTATGGCTTGACTGGGACAGTCTGTAGGAGTCTGCGCATATTGTATGGCTTACCTGGGACGGTCTGTAAGAGTCTGCGCATATTGTATGGCTTACCTGGACAGTCTGTAAGAATTTGCGCATATTGTATGGCTTACCTGGGACGGTCTGTAAGAATCTGCGCATATTGTATGGCTTACCTGGGACGGTCTGTAAGAATCTGCGCATATTGTATGGCTTGCCTGGACAGTCTGTAAGAATCTGCGCATATTGTATGGCTTGCCTGGACAGTCTGTAAGAATCTGCGCATATTGTATGGCTTACCTGGGACGGTCTGTAAGAGACTGCGCATATTGGCCGGAACGCCTGTCCGCTTTCTCCCTGGTTAACGCTGCGATAGCTGGTCGTTGACTAAGAGCTTGTTTCTGGGTCGTGGCCTTCAGTTTTTTGTGGTGAGGAAACGCTTGTTGCTCATGGCAAAAAGACTACGTATGTGAAGCAGTGGTGATGTTCCAACGGTGCAAACATGCACTACCTGATTAAACAGGTTGAGTTTTAACATCTTGCAGATATTACAGCACAACTTTTAAATAATTAGACAGTTTGTCGCTCGAAAGCTTATCTGCCATGAACCGTAGCTGCCAGTAAATAGAATGGCCAAAGCTGCGAGTCATCAAACATCCGTAACACACCTATTACGGCATGCAAAGCGCCTTAATCAAGATAACCCGAACTATACCACGGCTAAAAGCTTGTCATCGAGCTCTGACGGACGTCAGGCACGGCTGGGGTCGGCCGCTGACATTGGGCCGATTATCCGCTAGGGGACGCGGACTCGACAGCTGACACCGCCCGACAACGGCGCCACCTTCGACCCGTACGTGGTGTTCGACGACCTGACCATCTCCGAGAACGGCTTCTACTACGTGCTGCGCATCACCGTCACCACCGCCGACGACGCCAGCTACCGGCTGGTTGCCCTTTCCGGTACGGGGTGTCCTCCGGCCTCAGGGCACTGACCCGGGCCTCCGGCTGGTCACCTTGTCTAGAACGTGGTTGGGTGTGGCCCGGCTGGCGCGACCTATTAGCGACTGCGTGAGACCGCGTGGCAGTGTGGCGTCCATGTATGATCGGTGGTCAGCTGTTGTGTACGTCACGTACATGGATCACGCGCTTTCAGCGCATCAAATGCCGGCGCACTGATCCTGTTCATCAGCACAGTTTGCCGCCAGTGTCCCGCATTGGCGTGTAACAGTTGCGACCTTCGGTCAACGAGCGGCTCCTTTGACGCTTCGGAGCCACTGACCCGCCAAACGTTGAAGGACGCGCTGCAATGTCTGTGTTGTCACTGAGACAGGCCGGCCGTTGCACCTGCTCGCCGCCGTGCTCCGACTCGGCCTCGTCTGCCGCGCAGGACCTATCCACGTGCGCTCGGCGCAGGCGGCGCCGCTGGCGCAGCCGCACAACATCGGCGTGCGTTTCCTCTCCGACTACAGCGCCGTGGCCGGGAGGGAGGAGCAGTTCAGCGAGGAGGTCGCCTCCTGGCTCCAGAGCCGCTACGGAAAGACGGCCTGGCTCCGGATACGCCTATCGAGAGGTCAGGCTCGCGGTTGACGTTAGGTCAGGTCAGGCTTGTTGTTGAAATTAGGTCAAGTCAGAACGGCTGCTGACCTCCGGTCAGGTGATGCTCGTGGCGCTCCCAGTATGTCAAGCGTATTCACGTGGTGCTCATTCTGACTTTAAGGCTCAATCGGAACTGATTTCCGCACATTAGGTCAAGGTCATTCAGG